AACACATGTACACCCACTGAACAAAGAGAAAATCAAATCCAATAATCATAGACACTCACTCTCTCACAGTTAACTACAGGGAAAGCTGGCTATGTTTAATGATTAATATCATTCTTAGTATTCATTCTACTCTTTCGATGAAACCTAAACCCTCTCCCTCTATCTCTTCCTCTTTCTTTCTCTCAGAACTCCAAATCAAGCCATAATGGTTTCCCTGAGGCTCAGTGTCCTGGCTAGTTTCACCAGGCACACTGCTGTGTTTCATAGGAGAAGTGTGACTGCACAGAAACCGTAATGAGCTCTCACTGGGAGCTGGGGGCCTCCTGGCACAGCTAATGGCTTCTCCTGACTACAGCTGTATCCAGGTTACAACCTGGCCTGGCACAACAGGCCCTGGGATGCACAGGCCCAGTAGGGACAAACTATTCCCAGCCACAGGCACACAACGTAGGCAGAAAACGCATCCATAGCAGTGGACTGTGTTTAGTGTGTGGGTGTTTGAAGTAGAGAAGGAGGAAAGAAGACCTGGGGAAGAGAGTAAGGGGGCAGGAAGTGGGAGAGGATGTTGAGAGACAAGGGGTTGAGCAGAAACACAGACCAAGGAATACAGACAGTTGAAGACATGTGGTTTGGCCATAAATGCGGCAGATAGACCCAATAAACCTGAAAGCTTTCATAAGGGAAACAGCTGGTGTGTGTGTGTTTGTGTGTTTGTGTGTGTGTGTGTCTAAGACTGGCATGATATCAGATTTTCAACAAAATTATCATGTCCTATCTATCTATAAAGGTTAATATATGCTTGCATAATATAAACATTAGGTCACCATATCATTTTTGATTACAGATCTCACCAACACTCCTTTCACAACCACAATGTGCAGACATGTCTTCCTTATTGGGGACAGAAAGGCAAGTCCTCATAATGTAAATCATTAAATTTTAAAGTGATGACATGTTGTCCAGTTAAGGTTAGGTTAAAGTACAGGGGAGTAAGGCAAAGCTAAGCTTGGAATTACTCTCCAGGAAAAGAATGGAAGTCAATGCAAGGCACTGTGGATGTTTATGTGTGTGTGCAAGAGAAAGAGATGAGGAAACTGTGTGTGTGTGTGTGTGTGTGTGTGTGTGTGTGTGTGTTTGTCCTGGTGGGGGGTGTGGGGGGGTCTGCTTAATTATCTCCATAAGACAGTAACCCTGCATTTTCTAACAGCGCATGCATGCACAGACTAAGTACAGACAATAATGATGGCTTTTTATAATAACAACTCTGCTAATGATAACCAATTACTAATAGTCATATTAACCCATTTGGCTAAGCTTCCAAAATTAAAGCAAAACAAAACACAAAATCAGAACAATCAAGGACAAACAAACATCAAATTTAGAACATAATTGGCTTTAAAACCTTTAAATCTGGTGAACCATGTGACCCACAGAAAAAAAGACAACATCTGGGTTAGGCTGATGAAAGGGACAAATGCTCTAAGATGACGTCGACAACTTTGCAAAAATGTCTTAGATACCATTTTCTACTCAGGGTGAGGGTAATGTGATTGGTAGGTTGGTAAGTAAGTGCAAGAGATGGCAAAGGATGGATCATCACTTGTTTTCAAACCTAACAGTGAAACAGGCATTAGAGCTGCGTCCAAGGAGCTCAAATTGCAATCCCGTTTGTATGCGGCTAAAAGGTTTGTGATGCATGGGGTTTAAAGGTCTACTCCTAATGTTTCATAAATTACTGGTATACAATTATGTTGCATTATGACACCCAGAACTCAGCATTGTATAGCCAACATCAAGCCCGTACTACAACAAATACAACACAGAGACATACACACACACTCCTGTTGTTGCCCTCTCTGGGAAAGCTCACAGCTTGGGTTCTTTAGCTCCTGTTTTGTCTGGCCTCCATTCAAAATGGCCCCCTCATGACCACGCACATTATGGTCCGGGCAGGCAGCCCCTGAGTGGACTGAGGCTCCCTGGGTGCAAGCAGTGATTCATGGCACAAGTGTCTGTAAAAGAGCAGCCTCACCCCACGCTGCAGCCCTTCATGGGGACAAGAAGAGCAGAGGCTGTTTGGCAGTGGGGGTGAATCAAAAGTCTGGCTACAGGACTGAGCCCTGTCGAGATCATGCGGGCCAAGAGAGGCAGAAGGGGAACAGCCAGTGTGTTTCCTCATGTGCGTGTGTGTATGTGTGTGTAGAAAGCATGAGTTTGAGTGAAAGCGACACAAAGACATGGATGGCTAAGCCCAAAGTAATGCTAGAGTGTGTCTGCTGAATCTACTCTGCTCCCTATCCCGAGGACAATCACACAGTAGCTTTTTAACAATCTTAGCTTCGAGGCAAGTACAAAGTACTAAATGTTTAGGAGTTATCTCTAACACTTCCCCAATCTAACAGAGCACCAGTTTAAAGGGCACTGGGAAAAAAGACACTGTGAGAAACAAAGAGGGCTCATGAATAAGAGCTGAAAAATGATAGTAGTTGCTAGGATTGATGAAACCCTATTCAGGTTTTGTGACAGGCAACGAGACACACAAATTCTTTCCCCTCAGGCTAGAAGGTGTAATTTCCCCTTCCACTGCCACAAGAGTCATGTAAAAAATTATCTATAGCTCAGTGACTGACTGCTTCGAAGTAATTCCAAGCAGTAATTTGTCCTTCTATCTATCTATCTATCTATCTACCTACCTATCTATCTATCTATCTATCTATCTACCTATCTATCTATCTATCTATCTATCTACCTATCTATCTACCTATCTATCTATCTACCTATCTATCTATCTTTTCAGAGACACTCAGAATAGAAACACTGGCATGCTACTCTGTTGTAACACACGGTGGGATGCGGATGGAAATGCTGGCCCCACAGGACACACACACATACACACACACACACACACACACATAAAGAACGGACTGCTGTGGGGCTGACGCAAGACTATCTCTGTCTCACGTGTCTCTCCCCTACGGCCGCCCGCTGCTCCTGACCTTCGAGATGTTTTTCTCTCTCCTTCTCCCTCTCCCTTTATTCCTCTCTATTTCACACTCACATAACACACACACTAACTGACTCACACACACACACACACACACACACACACACACACACACACACACACACACACACACACACACACACACACACGCCTCCTTTTTCTGCACAGCTCCCAGCCACTCAGTATTTTGTCATTAAAAAGCATTGCATTTCAAGCTTGGATCAAGCAGATGGGGCTGCGTAAGCATTGCTGCTCCTTCGCACAGCACCTTGGCTTAAGTACAGATAGTTTACATGCAGTACGGCACTCTCGCTTAAACACGCGCACACAAACAGACATGCGAGCGCACACATGCACACGCACAACCTTCCTGGAACCGGAGAATCAGCCCGTTTGTGGATGGCTGCTTCACTCGGGTACTGTGCATCTCACTTGTGTGATGCCTAGCTGATGTGGCTGAATACTTTAAGACATGCTCTAAAAAATAACAGCGCTACACAGCAGACGAGGGTATCGTCTCTTAGCAGAGAAAGCCTCATTCTTATCCTAACATATTTTGTAGTCCTTTCCGTAGACCAGTGGTTCGTGCCTTGCAGTGGCAAAACACTGACATAAATACTCACATAAAGTTCAATGGGTTCATAACACACACAATTACACACCCACATGCGTACGTGAATGTAATATAATTATATCTCTGTGCCATTAGACACATTTCTCTGTCTTTCTTTCATTTTCTCTCACCCTCAACATTTGCATATTCCTTTGGGTGTTTGAGTTGAGCAGCTCTTTCCTTTTTCCTTCTCTTGTCTTCCAAGCAACAAATGTCAGCTAATTACACCATAGCTGTTTGGATGAGCTCCATCTTTCCCCTGTGCTCTGCTGTGCTTGTTCTCTATGGGGCTGCAGGAAGAGTCAGGCAGCCAAGACACCAGTTAGGAGCAGCCAGCTGTGGGGGTTGAGCTAGAAGGCTACCCACACACACACACACACACACACACACACCCCACCACCACTACCCACCCCTAGAAATTGATTCCCCAAGAGAGGACTCATCAATACTTATCACAAATGATACAAGCAGCCCGCACCAACCTGCAGGGGATATAATGTATCATTCACAGCCAGAGATGAAGCAGTAATGGTTAGACGTGATAGAATCGGGTCTGCTAACGCACAAGGCTAAAAAGACAGTCACGGGCGAAACAAGTATTTCACTGAGCTCTGCATTCAGCAAAAACCTTCTTTTAAAAGATCCAATTTGATCTGGTGACACACTCACAGGCACAAGGCCATCAAGTCAGGCAGGAGAGAAAGTGCAAGTCATTGTCTGTGTGTGTGGAACAATAAACTGGCACACCACTTGGTGTGTGTGAAGTGAAGCCTTGAGGACGCAGCCGCGCCCCTGAGTACAGCTTGCTCTCACACACAGACACAGCGAGAAAACAGAGAAGGAAGAAAGAAAGGGTCTCAAAAAGGAGAAGATTAATGCTACACGCAGAAAGACACACAAACAACTAAACCCAATCCAAGATCCTAACCCAGAAGCACTGTCGGGCACAGTTAACACCCATTTACATTCAGTGTTGGGTCTGAAGAGATAGCAAACTCAAAGGATGTTTATTAGGCGCGTACGTTTCATACAAATATTCTGATTAGAATGGGAGAAATCTAATTAATTGCTTGATTCACTGAATGAACCCCGAATTTGTAATGTAATCATAACAACTGCTTTTCAAGGGGCTCTTGTTAAATTTAATTGGGGGAGAAGAAAAAAAACATCCTCTTTCACTGAATGAATGAAAATCAAATTAGGCCTGAAACTGGAGGAGTCTGCAAGTTTGTTCTGTTGCGCCATAAAAAAAAAAAGAAATAATTTTTTAAAAACCACTGTAAAAGCAGAAGTGTGTGACAATGTATATTTTCAAAAGTCACACATCAACTATTTTGTAACATGCATTTTGGGCAGTGTGAGAGATTTTAGAGATGCACTTACTGTTACAGGTGTCTTCAGCTCTTTGACATCACTGCTGTAACACCTGGGGAAAAGCAGAAACAAGAGATCACTGTGGTTCGGGCCGAATACAACAATCTGACTCATAAGAAGAGCAGCATTCTCAAAACGGGCAATTTTGATATAGTACTATGAAGCTTTTTTCTCTTCTTCTTTCATTTCACGACCTGAAAGCTGGCGGAGGCCCTAAAAACTACTTGCACTTCAAAGTTACAGTTACACAGCTTAGTATTTGTGGTTTTCCAGACACATCAAAGGAAAAAAATACAGTGACGTCTGAAACACAGCTGTGGCTACACACACACACACACACACACACACACACACACACAAACAGAAAGATATTCACACCCACAAAAAGTCTCTTTCTCCCTGAGCCCGTTCTTGCAAAACCTGTTTGTTAGAACTGAATCTAGACATTGGAGCTTCAAGTGTGAGGATATTTTCCCTAAACACAAGACAGTTCTTGCAGAGAACCAAGCCTTACCAGCGTTCTCACGCCCATCTCTCATGCATTGTCTCTAAGGCCCTCCTGTGCACTTACAGACCGGGCTTAATCTGAGCAGCTCACCATAACAGACAACACCCTGCTTTGTATATCACACTACAGTGCAGTTTTTACAACTTTCATTTACGCTGATATAACCTCGTGTTGAATAAAAAGAACAGCTGAAGGACAGCTTTCGATTATGAGTTATAACTGGTGTCAGCAAGGTTAGGTGGGATCAGAATGCAGTACCTACAAATGTCACGGCTCCCTGTACACATGCACACAGACTCAGGGAAGCAGACATTTCCAGACACGGCAACACACAAGCAGTGTTACAGCATGTGTGGGTAGCTATCTAACAAGGTTTTGTTGTCAGTAAACACATCCATCTGGTCAACAGCAACTGAATCAAGTCTGGTGGATGCCTCAGCGGCACGGATGTGGTCAGATATTACAATAATAGTTAAAGCTATCCTTTTTCCTACAAAGTTCCCGTCTTTTCTGTTAACGTCACTTGCTCAAATGGTAAAAAGAAAGGGAGTATGTTACAAGTAAGTAAGTCATTTTGTCTGTCCAGATGCCTTCAAGTGTTTCCAAAGTCTGTGGTACACAGTGCTATGCATGTCTGTCATTACAACTCCATGTATCACTGAACAGAAATCACCTAGACTGACTGTGTTGGTAATAACCGAACTGATCGAACTGTAATGGTTCCCCTCATTATCTGTTCTCTTACACAAACACACACACACACACACACACCATCACAAACTACAGGCACACACAAATACTTTGATAACTCATCGCAGTGATAATGATAACAGAGAGCCAGGTAGGCTGAATTCATCTTCAGCTTTTTTCATAAAGGCCTATTAGTGGATGATTAAAGGATCTCTGCTCACAGGACTTCACCACAGAAAATGATTTGCCAGCCACGAGGCAGGTGAATTACACTGGATAAGAAAGCCAGTGCTGTCTGCCATCATTTGCCTCACTGAGAATCAGGCTGTTAGTCTATTAACCTCATTTTATGGTAGGATCTTACCAGTTTTACATCAAACATTACAAAACACTCTTTTCCTGTGACTGCAGCCTTGTTCCGCTGCTATGTCCTCATAAATTATGTCAGGGCATTGTATTAAGTCTGCAGCAAACAATTAATTAATTATGGATTCATCTTTTTCAATTAGCTAATAGTTAATTTGGCATATAAAATATTGAAAGGGTGTAATAAATATACATTAAAATCTTCATAAAGTCCAATATGACATAAATAAAACTGCTTGCCCAAGCCCTTTAGATGGATTTTACTACAACAGAAAGACAAAAAGAAAGAAGGCAGAAAAAGTACAAAACAGTTGAAGCCAAAGTCAATGCCAAGCAAAACATTAATCAACTACAAGTTTGAGTGAAACATGATGTGAAAACTTCAAAGCGCTATTTACAGTTGAACAAATACAAATCATCACGAATGCAAAAAGGTTCACCTCAGCATTAATTTAGTGTGACAGAATTCACATAGCCGTGCTTTCTGAGTAACACCGAGATATTTGAATGTCTATATACAAGTGATCCAACAAACTCGGTGCCCTAAGTTATGCCGGTGAATTTATTACTTTTTGAGTAACAATCCGAATGTCAATTTAATAATAGCCATGATTGCTTAATCATTTCCATTTAATTAATGTGAAGGCAAATAAAACCAAACACACATACACACACAAAGAACTATCTCCAAAGTAATAATTACCAGCATTTAAACTCCAGGCATGCTTGCACATGGACAGCGTACAACCTAACTGCTATGATGTCTCCCTGAATTGTCTTGTTTGGTTACTCTAATCTACCCCTGTTGCCTCAGCCAAACAGATGTTGACTTTACTTTAAGATTCATACAACCGCTCTCAGGCATCCACACAGGGTTAAATAGAGGGGTCAAAAGAAAGAAAGAAGAAAGAAAGAAAGAAAGAAAGAAAGAAAGAAAGAAAGAAAGAAAGAAAGAAAGAAAGAAAGAAAGAAAGAAAGAAAGAAAGAAAGAAAGAAAGAAA